CAAATCAAATTAGCAGTTCTAGATAGAAAAGCAACATCTGTTTATTGTAATTTTTAGATACTTTTTTTCTCTCAAAAAGTGCTAGTCATCTAGATTAATATAATGTCAGTGTCCTTACTAAGAACTTTACATTCTGTGTGGCTGGTGTTGCTGATTGTTTGCTTTATGTCTTAATTCTTATGGTAGACTCAGTAAAACCAACAGAGAGGAAGTTCTTGATAAGGCAGAAAAGGATTTAGCAGTAGTGAGAGATCGATATGTTTCTCAACTGGCAAAAGAACTACAAGGGACCGATTTTTGGAAGCTGAGACGAGCATACTCTCCTGGGGTGGAATTTTGTTCTCTAAGGTCTCCTTTTTCTACAAGGCTATAATCTAAAGCTAATTTCCTTGTTCTCCATTCTGGTTTTGTAGGTGCAAGAATACATTGAGGCTGCAACATTTTACGAATTCTGCAGAACTGGGACCCTTTTGAAACTTGATGAGATAAATGCTACATTATTACCACTCAGCAATCCATCAATTGAACCATTGCAAATCAATGTTCTTGACTATATCTTGGGAGTAATTATCCTGCTTTCACACTAATTTGATCAATATTCATTCGTACATTAAACTGGAGACAGGAGGAAAAGCATTTCCTCCAAATGTTAGAAGGGAATGACAGTTAGAAAAATGATTCATGTGTGAAGTAGTAAAGACCAATGCTTTGAGGCCATGTTAAAATGCTAATGCCATAGAATAAGAATAGGAACACAAATGCAAATGAATTTTGAAGGAAGAAGAATTGTGTTCTAGTTCAATATGATTCCTCTCAAAAAGTAGGGATAGAATCTATTTCCAATAAATTGAAAATAAGGCTGGAATTGGTTCAGTTCTGAACCAAATATGAAAGAAGTATGATCAAGTTTTACATATAAATAATATTTTTATAATTAGGGTCCGGGAATAGAAGATGATAGAATGAGAATTAGACCAAACAGAGCAATAACTCCTATGCAGGTATTGTAAACATCTCACAATAGTTCGGGTACTATACTTTGATCCTTCCTGCTCCCCTCCCCCTTTCCTTTTTTCCTTAATTCTGGCGTCTGAATAGCAGATATCGAAGGCCAGCAATGAAGATCATTGGCACATGTATGCGCATGAACTAACTGTGCTAAAAAAATACATTTCTAAAATTATTATACACCAGATAGTGTTTTTTATTTGTGTTTAATGGTCAATGTTTCTGTCAGGTTGCAGACTTAACAGGAGAGTTGATGCGGTTGGCAATAGGCCGAATATCAGATGGAGAACTTGAATATGCTCAGAAGATCTGTCATTTTGTTCGTGATATTTACAGGGAGCTGACCCTTATTGTCCCACGCATGGATGATAGTTATGATATGAAAACAAAAATGGACACAATGCTCCAAAGTGTGGTCAAAATAGAGAATGGTATGCTGCTTTTGTTTTCTTGCCTTGAGCATTGTGTACGATCTTCATATCTTGCATATTTGCTTGTGTCTGTTTTTGCATCTATTTTATTTTTTTAAGCTTTAGAAAACTTGCCAAAAGACTGCAGCATTTAAACTAATATATTTATCACTTGAGCCATTCGGTGCTATACTGTTCTTCATCTTGTTTATGGAAGCACGTGAATGAATGGATTCAAGTGTCTTTTTTGTCCCCTTTTTATCACATTTATCATCTTATTTCTCATTACCAAGAATATGGTCCATGTCTTCTTGCTGAACCTAGTTGTTTTGTTCAATTTTTTCCTTAATAATGGTCCCAACTGCTTTGATGTAAAAATGTGTGTACTCAATTTGAAAAACCAAGCTCTTAAAGTTAAAGTTGAAGTTGGAAAAAATTAGTAATTGGATGTCAAATAAGAAGATTGTACAGTAACACAATAAGGGAGGGGAGGGGTACCATCAGAAAGCATATCATCCATAGACTATTTTATTCTATCATTTTCTAGTAACAAATTTATTTCAATTTTTAGTGTTTTTTATGTCTTTCAGTCCCCACATTTGCGCCACAAAACAAAAGGCTAGATTTTATTGTTTTGTCTACTACAATTTTTATGGTACTTGTTTGGAATGGTTGATGTATTTATTGAATATCATAACCCTATATATATAAGTTTTAGGATTAACAAAAAAAATTAATTACATTGAGTATAATTTATCTTTATAGAATTTAACCCAATTTACGATTTCCATAACACTTCCCCTCAAGTTGGAGAATAGATGTTATTCATCATCGATTTGCCAATAAGAGTTCGCAATGCTGTATTGCTCAAGTATTTAATCAGCATATCTGCTAATTGTGAATTGGTAGACATGTATTGAGTACATATTAGGCTACTAATAAGTTTTTCATTAATAAAGATAGACATTGATATGTTTGATTTGGCTATGTTGTACCGAATTGTGTACAATGCTTTTAGGTGACTTATCACAGTATAGGTGCATGAGGTTTTCCCACTTGATTCTGCATTTGATCTAGTAAATATATTTTATTTTTTACTTATCTAGATAACTTAGCTTACCCCCAAGGAAGTTAGAGTCTCATGTGGTAGATCTTCTGTCCACAAGAGATTCTACATAATCTGGATCCATATAGGCTTTTAGAAGCAATAATATTACTCTTTCTAAACATAATTCTTTTCCCAAGTAACCTTTTTAGGTAATGCAATACTCTGTAAATTACTTAGAAATGTACTTTTTTCAAGCTGTATATGAACTAAATTATAACACTCACTCTAAAAGCGACGTCTTGTCTAGTGTGGGATAAGTATATCAATTTTTCAATTAATCTCTAGTACATTCCCTTGTCTACTAGCGTATTTTTTTCTATTATTCCTAATTTATGATTGGGATCAGTAAGGGGGTTCATTATCTTTCTTCAAGGAGTCTAGGGGCTAACACAAAAGGATCTGCTTTCACCTCTACTCTTCATCATTGTGATGTAAGCGTTGAATAAGTTGTTAAGAGCGAGGGAGTTGGAGCTATTTAGGGGCGGGGGGCAGGGGGCGGGGGGGGAAGGTTGGGGGGAACATATGGAGGAGGTAACAATATCTTTAATTGCCGATGACACTTAAGTTTTCTGTGAACCGGATGAGAAGGTGATGCTCAATCTCATATGCGTTTTGTTTTGTTGTGTTTTAATTTTATTGTAGATATACTCTTAGATTTGTAAATCTTTTGTACATGGGCGTCCTTTGGTACCTACACTCAATATATTTTTTACCTTTTATCTCAAAAAAAATATTAACTTGACCAAATCGGAGTTGGTGAGACTAGGTGACAGGAAAGATGACATTGGATTTCCAAGTATGTTGTGTTGTAAAATGATGGAATTACTTATTAAATATCTGGAGTTACCTTTAGAGGCCAATTACAAATATGTGAGGACATGGGATCCGGAGATTTAAAAAGTTTGAAAGAAGGTTAGCCTCTTGGAAAAAAAAAATCTTTATCCAAGGGTGGAAGGCTAACACTTATTAAGAGCATGTTGGCTAATCAACCTATTTACTACATGTCTCTTTTGACAATCCTTGTTAAAGTAGCAAATAAATTGGAGTCTATTTAGTCCAGGTTCTTTTGGGACGCTTCCAAGTACAGTAGGAAGTACCATTTAGTGGAGCAGGAGAAGATCAAAAACCTATGTTGCAGGGGGTATGGGGTTGAGATTCTTTGTGGAGATGAGTTTGGCTTTGCAAGTGAAATAACTATGGAGATTCATGAAGGAGAACAACACTTAATGGTGGAGAGTGATTAAATCTAAATTTGGGACTCTAGATAGAGGATAGTTTTCAAGAGTGACAGCAAGACCACGAGGGGTATGGATGTGGAGGAAAATCAACATAGGTAGGCAAAGATTCCATGAATGCATTAGTTGGAGAGTAGAAAGGGGGATCAGTATTATGTTCAGGATGGACCCTTGGGTTGGAGATGGAATACTCAGAGATCAGTTCCTTAAGATTTATGCTATAGTACGATTAAAAATATCACAGTTGAGGAGGCATGCAGAGTTATTGGTGGAAATAGGAAATGGAATGTGAATGTGATAAGAAACCTTAATGACTGAGAGGTTAATCAATATGAGGCGCTCCTAATTTACTTTCACTCGTCAATCTAAACGAAAACAATGATCAATCATTATGGAAACTTAAGGGGAATGGAGATTTCACAGTTAAGTCCTACTATAATCACTTGGTAAGAAATGTAGCCACTGGACCCAGATTTGTGTTCAAGCAGATACGGAAGGTGAATGCTCATCTCAGATTACCTTTTTTGCATAGGAGGGGACGAGAGTGTATATTGACTATTGATAAACTAATAAGAAGAAATATTATGGTGAATGGCTGTTATCTATACAAGAGAGAAGCGAAATCTTGTAATCATATTTTACAGTGATGCCCTACTGTGTACAAATTATGAACTATGGCTTATGGGTTACTAGGGATTAGCTGGGTTATAGTTGGTTTGGCTAGAAAATGGTTGATGTGTTTTTTATTAAATATCACAGTTTTATATATATAAAATTTTCAGAATAGAAAAATAAATAGAGAGATTAATTATAATTTATTACATAGCATGTATATTACCTTTATACTTTTTACGTTAATTCATACTTTTCATTTACAGTACCAAATGCTATCCATATCTTAAATTTTAATTGATTTCTTATCGGGAGTTTTTTTTTTTTTTCCGTTTGGTAGCTTGCTTCAGCGTTCATGTGAGAGGATCAGAGTATATTCCGCTGCTT